ATCATCATCATCATCATCATCATCATCATCATCATCATCATCATCATCATCATCATCATCATCATCATCATCATCATCATCATCATCATCATCATCATCATCATCATCATCATCATCATCATCATCATCATCCTCCTCCTCCTCATCATCATCATCACCAGCAGCAGCAGCAGCAGCAGCAGCAGCAGCAGCAGCAGCAGCAGCAGCAGCAGCAGCAGCAGCAGCAGCAGCAGCAGCAGCAGCAGCAGCAGCAGCAGCAGCAGCAGCAGCAGCAGCAGCAGCAGCAGAAGCAGCAGCAGCAGCAGTGGTGGTAGTAGTGGTGGTGGTGATAGAAGTGGCGGCTGTAGCGTTCTGACCCCAATTTGTCTCGAACTGGGGGCTGAGTGTGTCTAACGATGACTTTCCAGCCGTCTCTGTTTTCTTTTTCTTCAGTAAGCATCTAACAGCGTTGCAAAAAGGACCCATTTTGCAGTCATTTCAGGCCCACTATGTGGTCTATATGCATAAACAGAATGTATACTGCGTTACTGCATTTAGCCCCGGCCTTGGAGAGAATAACTTTTTCAGTTACTTAAGTCGGCCTTGGGGAGTGAGGAAACTCTAGGAGTTGCAATGCAAGGTTTTCGCTTTCCTTCATCATATAATACGAGTTTTATGGGTGGGGCTAAACGGCGGAAAGGTGCGCGCGGTAGTAGACAAACCGGATAAATTTTGAGGTGGTATATTGCGCTCCCGCGCTAGGTTTCTCTACAGCCGCGTGCAAAAGAGCATACGTAGCAAGAACCCGATCCCCGAGGAATGATGAGGTTATCGAGATATCTACCAGTGCAAGCAAAAGCGAGCATCTTTTGAGATTCTTGCAGTTTGCCTTCACAAAGGAAGTAGATTACGCGCCATCTAGCTACAAGAGCGCAGAAGCGTCAAGTGTAAAAAAGGCGAGGACGCAATATGCCACGATGACCTGGTTTTCTTCCCTGAGCGAGGTTGCATCCTGCATCCTTGCCGGTCTTGCAATCGAACGGCTCGGTGACAGTAAATTGGCCAACGTCGCACCATCCCATGCCATCTTTCCACTCCCCTTTCAGATTGCAAACACTCAATGAACAAATTAAACTGGCGGGAATGCATAACATGTCGACGAAGCGACCGATGGTGGCCGGTATCCCGCCGGGCTTCACTCTTGAGGAGGAACTCTTTGACGAGGATGATGAGACCTCCGCCATGTTAATGCAATGGGGCCAGTTTCTGGATCATGATCTAGACTTCACACCCGTGGACGCCTCCACCAGTCGGTTCAGCGACGGCCTGGGCTGCAATGAGACCTGCATCAATGACCCACCCTGCTTCCCCATCATCACTCCACCAGGTGATCCGAGGATTCGTTCGCGTTGCATTGGGTTCGCCAGGTCCAGCGCGACCTGTGGCTCGGGCTCCACTTCTATCCTCCTGGGCCGGCCGCAACATCGAGAACAAATCAATCAAATTAGTGCATTCCTTGACGCCTCCAATGTCTACGGCAGTGAGGACTTTGAAAGTCGGCAGTTAAGGGACACCCTTTATGACGAAGGACGTCTTCGGGAAGGAATGCCGACTCCGTCGGGCAAGAGACTGCTCCCTTTCAATATTCGTGGACAGGTAAGTTGAGTAGATTCGTTCACCTTTCAGTTGCTTTTTTTTCGAAGGGAAGTTTTTCTGATCGTGATTGCCATATGCTGGGCCCCTAAAAGGTCATTTGAAGGGGCTTTTGTGTCTGTGGCCTAAATAGAGTCAGACCATGTGGTTCGGCTGATTCAGCTATTCCCATTCCACGACCGTTTTCTCACAATATGCTTTTTCTGCCCACTGGCCAATGTGGCCACCTCCATATTACTACCCTCTTCCAAATGTGTTTAACACTCCGCCTCTTGCCCCCATCAGTTTCGTGCAAAATCACTGTTCAACCGCTGCATAGTTAAGGCGACTCCCGAATAAGCAGTGGCTTTCAGGATCTTTTTGACTTAGTAGCTAGGCCAACTGTGATCAAGCCATCAAGACCACTTTGCGAAAAACTTATAATTCTTATAAACCTCCAAATACTCAAGACATTTGCCACTTTTCACGCAGCAGAAACTAATCTTGTGGCTTTATTCGTCCCAGACCCTTTTATAGCTTATCTTAATTGGCGTTCGAAATGGGAGCTACGACACGTCCCTTCGTTTTGTTAAGGCTGCGTGAAAGAGGGGTAAAGCATAATGTCCTGGATGAATATCTACAGTAGGAGGTCGCAGTGCGTGATATTTCAGATCACGGGTAGGTGTAAGTAATGCTTTTTTGCAACCAGCAAAACCGGACTCCAGGTAAGCTGTTTATTGAGGAACCCCGAAAGCTCAATGAAGGCGAGGTGGGACCCCGTCCTAATGGGGACCAAATCTGTCAGAGTCTACCATGATCTGAGGAAGAGTCCACTTCATCAGAACATTCGGATATGAGATCTCTGTCGTTGCGATCTTTGCCGAAATATTGTAAGCCAAAGACCCATAGGCGAGACGTGGAGCGATAATTATGTACATCTCACAAATCCCCTGCGTGTTCTACCGCGAAATCCCGCTTTTCAGTGCCTCATAAGGAGCCCTACTACGGTTCTCCTTCTGCTTAAAATAAACTTAGGTTTTTCTTTATTAAAGTTAGGATGACTTAGAGAGCCGTCGTTGTATTCAGTGAAACTTAAAATTTCGGTTCTGAGCTGTGCCACGAAGCCGCCTGTAATACTGACATGGCGGCGGTAGAGGCCTTTTAGGAGAGGTAGTGTGGTGTTTTTAAATACACAAACACATATATATGTATACATTAAAAGGAAAGAATTATGTTTATGATACATGCATGCTTTAGTGTGGTAAAAAGACAATTTGTGGGAACTCATTTCAGGGGAGGGGAGGGGACACATGTATCCTTTTCCTACCATATTTTATTGAATTTTCAATGTTTCGTCATGTCAGACCTCTTCGGATCCTGCGGGTAATAATCGGTGAATGCGGGCACGAATTTTCGGCAGAAACACACTGACAACCTATGATCTGCCCACTCTGTTTTGGGTTTTAGATCCGAATGATTCCTTGGTGACTATCGGACTAAAATCAATGTAGTTTTTCCACATTTCCGAATGTCATATCTAGTCAGTCATCTACGAATACTTGAAATGATGACTTATTGTGGCAATACTTTACTTATTATTCGCCATTTATAATCGAAAAGTCAATCAGACTATTTTTTATTCTGCTTTAAAAAAGTAAAACTTTAAAACCTGCTGCGACTAAAGCATCTTCGATCTTCAGGAAAAAACTGTATAGTTTTTGTAAAATGGTGTTGACCTCTGCAGAAAACTGTGATGTTCTCAGTTGGAAATCTATAAGCAGTTATTGGGTTGCATACATACACAAGTAGCCCTCTTACTGGAATGATCATCGAAAAATCGTCGTCCAACATGCGCACTCAAACCCAGGTCTGGAGGACCTGGGATCAGAGTCCGTACATTCTGAGCATGTAGTGTGCATTCAACATTCTACCATTGATCTATGGACCCGTCGTCCTGCCGGTTACTATCAAGAATATTGACTGTGGTCAAGGGGGCGCTCGCCAATCAGGTTAGGGGTCATACTCGTCCCGCTGCACCTTGGGACTCAATCTAGCGACCTCGCAAACAGTCCCATGGCAGAAATCTCCGTACTATCAACGGAAGTGTTGGTTAAGGACCCAAACAGGTGCTGCACCGACTTACTGCGTCTCAGTCGTATATCTGTCACAGCCTTTGTTGTACGTTTTCCGCCAAAACTGCAGTTACCGAACCGCACTTAGTGGCAATTGGGTATCGTTGTTCCGTATATCGTCGCTGTATCGAAACAAATCTCCATAAGCAGATTACAAATCGTTGCTGACTGTCCATTGCCGATTTCCCTTTTTGATAGGTGGACTGCCAAGCTGATCCCCAACAGGACTTTGTGCCATGCTTCAAGGCCGGTGACCACCGAAGCAACGAGAACCTCGGTCTCCTCTCGATGCACACCATCTGGGTGCGAGAACACAATCGTATTGCCGACGGCCTGCGCAGCCTGAACCCACACTGGAGCGGGGACCGAATTTACCAGGAGGCCCGTAAGATTGTCGGCGCCTGCATGCAGTCGCTCACCTATCGTGTTTGGCTGCCGAAGATCCTCGGCCCGGAGGGCATGCGGCTGTTGGGCAGGGAGTACACCGGCTACAACGCCTCAGTGAATCCCACCATCAGCAATGAGTTTGCCACCGCAGCCTTCCGCTTCGGTCACACCCTCGTCTCGCCCATCCTCTTCCGTCTAAACGAACGCTGGGAGCCCATACCGCAGGGTCATCTCCTGCTGCATCAGGCCTTCTTCGCGCCGGACAGGATGCTCAAGGATGGCGGTCTGGATCCGATCCTGCGCGGTCTCCTCTACCACGGTGTACGCGACGTCCTCCGTCAGCCGGCCCTCAACCCCGAACTGACGGAACGACTGTTTGCAATGGCCCACCAGCTGGCGCTGGACCTGGCCTCGCTGAATGTGCAGAGAGGACGAGATCATGGACTGCAGCATTACACCGCCTACGCTTACCGGGTCTGCGGTCTGGGCAGCTCGGCGGCTCCGGACTCCTTCGATGATCTAGCGGACAGGATACGCAGCCCAGAGGTGATTTCATTTACAGGCGAAATTTGCAAAACAAAATTTTGGGCACAGTGGAGTTGACAACAAGCCGAAAGCTACCTTTTCGCTGAGCTGATGCTAATTTAAGTGATACAAAATTAACTGCTGCAAAGGGGTGGATGCTGTTATGTAGATCCGCTGGCTAGATACTGTTTGCAATGGACTGTCAGGCGTCGTATTACTAGTATGAGTTGAATTTTTATGTTGCACTAGACGCCCAAGAGATATGGATCAAGAAAACGGGAGAACTGATTAAGACGGAATGTGAGCAAGGTAGAAGTCTCAGAACCCGAAAACGTCAGTTGCAATCGTTTTTGCCAGTTGTACGGGTTCTTACTCATCCCCTTTCTATGTCTCAGAAGGTGGGTTGGTGTTAGTCTGAGCGATTAGTATTCTTAAGTTACAAGGCAAACGTTGTCTGCAAAGAAGGTTGAAGATTGTACTGGTACTACAACAGATTCCTAAAATAGTTCATGATTACGGTAAGAGGATGTTCATCAGTCAGGTCATGGGACATACGTGTTCCCTTACGTCGCGGGACTCAGTCCAGGGTCCCGATCGTAACCCACAAGTCAAGGGCTCCATGACTGGATATGACTGGCTGGCGACGAATAAAAAATTAAAAGTGGCCATTTACGTTCCTACTCTCTTTGTCGGTCGCTGATTCTAATAAGAAGAATACTTGCTGAATTAGACTATGGCGACAGATTGTTTCAGTTTTTTTCGGTCGTTTCAACTCGATATCATTGCTCCTCTTCTTTTGCTGGATTGCGAAAATTTGCACAGGTACGTGAAAAACTGCGTGCAGTATACGGCCATCCGGGAAACATTGATCTCTTTGTGGGCGGAATTTTGGAGGACGTTCTACCCGGAGCTCGAATGGGTCCCACCTTCGCGTGCATCATAGCCGACCAGTTCAAGCGTCTGCGTAGCGGGGACCGCCTCTGGTACGAGACACCTGGTCTGTTCACCGCCGCCCAGCTCGCCGAACTACATGACAGTGGCAGTAGCCTGGCTCGAGTGATCTGCGAGAACGGCGACAACATCACGGAGGTGCCGCTGGACGCTTTCAAGCGACCTCGCGGTCGTCAGGACCTGGTACGTTGTGAGGATGTGCCCAAACTAAACTTGGCCCTGTGGAAGGAGTGTCCCACACCGAGTGGCAGTTACTTCGGTGCTTTCAATGACGTTGGCGAGTTTGAGGAGCCTCAGGTGACTCGTCGCGTCCGACGCAGTGCGGATGTCGCCTCCTGTGAGGGCTCACCCAGCATTGGAGGTCTGGATGTGAATGCTGTGGAGCAGGAGGTGGAGGAACGCGTGCGTCTGCACGATCGCCAGCTCCGAAGGCGCAGGTGAGAGGCCAGTGGCTGGGAGACAAGAAAGGGATCGGTAAAGTGCGAGAAGGCTGTTGATGCCGACGTATTGTCTTTAACCATTGTAGCTCCTCAAACAAGCAAGCATTTTACGAAGCATTTCTTTTTTCAAACGTGCGATTTATCATGACATAAAGTAACTGACCGACTGGAAGAACTTCTCAACTAACATTCATTGTTGCCTCTCACTGCAGGCCCTACCACCGGGACGTTAATTTTGTCCTTAATCGTTAGCACAGTTTAAGTAAGAAAAGGAAAAAAGTGTTACATGTGCGATGATAGGCGCCAGAAAGCCCTGACAAAGCCAGAAATGATTAGTGGCGCATTTTGTAACGTCCGAATATACTGAAATAGTTCTTAATGAGGAAGTAGGAAACACAGATAACCCCCCTGCAGACTACTGCTACTAGCACTAAGATCATCGAGATCCCCATGTTTATTTAATTTATGTCTCGATTTCTCTCAGACATACAGTAGGTGTGCCAACTCATTAAATGTCAACCGAAATTCCGAAATGCGTTTTCGTTCCGAAAAGATTAATTAAGTAGGGTTGTAAAACCAATCATCACGTAGCATAATTCTATCATAATTCAGTTACCACAGGACACTGGCTTTCGAACAAGCTTCTTTACAACTGAATGCGAAAACTGAACTCTGTAAAAAATCACTACATAAGTAGCATACATTTTTCTCATTGATTTTTGATGTCCTTAAAAATTCAAGTAGATTTCATAGGAGACATGCATTAAAATATTCATTTTTTACTCATTCGGTAGAAAAAGATGTCTTCTTCCACTTGCATACTTAAAGGAAGGGTATGATTCGGTTTTAAAAAAAGTTTCTAATTGTGAGATCTTTTAATACCGCGAAACGGTCGTTCGTAAAACGTCGCGTCTCTGCATTTACGAATGTAGCTTGTAAAGTTAACATTATGGCTCAAATCCACTGCTTAGTTTTAGGAAACCCATATGGTCTCTTTTTAATACCGCAGAGAAATGTACGGTTGTACATGCACGGAAAATATACGGCCTGTATTTTGGAAACCCTGAATGCAAGTGTGACGGCAGATCGGGTTCAAAATTATTCGGGAATTGGAAAAGTTTTTGAAAACCGAATTATACCCTTCCTTCGAGCATAAAATTAAGAGAAAACCTAATTTTCTACCGAATGAGTAAAAGAATGAATATTTTTGTGCATGGCTTTTATGAAATCTCATTGAAATTTTAAGGGCACCGAAAATCAATGAGAAAAATGCATGCCAGTTAAGTAGTGATTTTTTACAGAGTACAGTTTTTGCATGCAGTCGGACGGAAGTTTGTTTGAAAGCCTGTGTCCTGTGGTAAATGAATTATGATAGAATTAGGCTACATGATGAGTAGTTTTACAACCCTACTTAATTGATTTTTTCGAAGCGTTAACGCATTTCGGAATATCGTTTGACATTCCATGAGTTAGCCCAACTACTGTAGGTTAATTTGTGAAGGAAAATAACAACCACTGGGAAACGACCTCCTAGCCCTGTAGGTCAGAGAGAGTGCCATGGCGACGAGAGTCAGTTTCGGACATGGGCAAACAGTTGTCGCATGATTGAAACCTGTAATCTATTTTAGAATGGATTAGAATCTAATCTTCTCACTCATATGTACTCAGCATGAGATCGTCAAGTGAAGAAACACCGGCGGACGTCGAACCACCAACCTTCTCAACTTTGGAAATGCACACTAACAGACACATGATGCCGGGATTAGCGTGGTTTGAGTATCGGTATTCCCACACCCATCTTGCTGTCAAGCTCCCAAATAAGCAACCAATAGGCTGGATGACCATTCATCTCTTCGGCAGACCACTCACAACGAAGGAACATCAGCCAATCGGCGAGTGAGCGGCGGGACGCCGCACCCGATTGGCCAGTAAAGTTAGTACGAGGGGATTTGCGTTGTTGTGGCAGACCCAAGATCAAACCGTTCTCCATGCACCGCCACTAAAACATGTGGCATTCTGGAACCTGCTTTCAGAATGCCGGACAGAAGGCATGCGTACTGCATGCCTTCACCTATAACGGCGTCAAACAAACGTGGGATGCTCAACTGCAGTGAACGCGTTCAGGCAGTCTGCCGGAAACCGATTTCCTAACATAAGTTAAATGCTTCTAAATGGCTCACCATGGATTGTATACTATAAGAAAGACTTGTAATGGATCGTCTCCGTAGGTTGAAGACGCAGTTCGTCAAATGCACCAAGTTGGCCCTCTTGCAAAAACTTAAGGGGGTTGCCTCTACTATGTGTAAATGATAAGATCTTAAGTCACGGCTTCGGGTGTGCCAGCCTCCAATCTCTGTTGTGTTGGTTGAAATCCTGGTTATTTGTTGTGTGGACCAGGGGGTGTGGTGGAACGCCAAGGTGAGGATCCGTCCGAGCCATCCACCTGCGGCCTCCCTCGCCTCTGGTCTTCTTGACTCTCTCTTGACACCGGGATCGGGCGAGGGAGGAGGAGAGAGTGTAGGTAGGTGCAGCGCAAGTCTGCCGGCACTATAAACCCCTGCGCAAGTCACCGTCCCTGCTCCCATCGCTGCTGCAGCTGTGGGGCACACAATGGACATAATCGAAATCGATGGTCGAACTGTCAAGTCACTTGGCTCGGCTTTATGAGACGCGGTGTGACAAACATTTTATTCGAAACTGTAGTGCAGCGGGACAGTAACGACAGCTCGGCGCAGAAGACACGACAACAAAGGAAGGACGAGGAAATATGGAATCATGTATTAACTCAGACACTTGTAGTTGGTTGAGTGAGGTAAAATGGGGTGGGGCACGGAAATAGGGATCCTCGTATTACAGGCGGTAGCAAAATCTTCTTTCGTAGCCGTACCTGTTAGGGGTTAGGCTGGGGCTTGTTTACTGCTGGTACGGCTACGGAATAAGATCCGACCTAGACAGTGTTGGACTAAATTATAAGGAGGCTAGAATTATTGTTATGGTTGAGATTGGTGTTAGGGCTTGTTTTAAAGTTTGGAAAGGGGAATAAGCATGCTCTGGGATTTAACGTAAGACGGCTTGTAGTACCGGGGAGGGAGGGGGGGGGTCCTTCTTCCCGTTTCTACCCATAAAATGTTGCCGAAGCTACACTGACTTACGAGAGGTTACAACTTCGCAGCATCAAATTCACCTACAGCTTTTGACTGCCCTCTACCCTCTCGCGATTACGTTTGTTCGGAAAATTGTCGAGAAAACGGCGCGATCATAGCTCAGAACATGCAGTCTAATCTAGATGGCGGCAGAAAATCAAGAAGACGGGAAGGTGGTGACGGTAACGAGTTAATTATTGATTAGCAAGGGAAGGTCAGATCTATCATGTGAGTTGCCTGCTTCTGTAAGCCATATGCGGGCTGCACCCAAGCAGGCGTTCTTGCACTGGAAAGTATTCGGAAGACTTGTTTCGAGTCACCGATGTGCCCATAATCTGACAGGTGTTTCGCGGTAGAAGGTAGGCATATTTTGTTTTTTGACAAAAAACCATCTAACCAAGAACCCAACTGACCTGGCTGTCAATAGCCTATGCGTTCGGCCCGAACACTTTCCTTCATCAGTAGATTATAATTTGCAAACATAATTTGAAGTAGCATGCATAAACAAGACCTTCCCCGTCGCTTTAGCTGAAACGGATTTCATGGGACTGTTAGGCAATAACTGAGTTGTATTGCAAATCTTTCCGGTTGTGTATTGCAACCGCTGCCTAATCATGCTGGAAATAGTCATCTTTGATGAACAAAGGCATTAAGGGTGGGCATTTCCGGAACGGACTAATCGTCAGATTTTTCACCAGGGGACTACTGTATCAGTCGAAGAAGTGAGCTAGTTAACGAGGCCTAACCAGGATTGCTTTATAAAAAGCGAATCCTGAGTCCACTGTTTCGGCAAAGTCAGTTTTTACTTGTACGAACAAAGATAATGCAAAAAAGGTTTCATTTATGAAATATATTGGGGAACTTTGTGGAAAGCTGATGGCCTACTTAAACCGTCTATGCAGTGCAGTGAAGGCATTTCGAGCAATATACGGCCGTACAATAAAGAGAGGGAATTACGCCTCACGACTGGATGCGATAAAAATAATAATTTGTAGAAAAAGTGCATCAAGACGAACGCTCGCATAGTCTGTATAACCGTTGTGCAAAAAAATAAAAGGTCGGATTGTGATTGGCTACCAGTCCGACAGATACTTTGGCCCCTTACCCCTACCAGAAAAGTCCAAATCCTGGCAGAATATTCCCATAACATCGAAGCAGGTCAGGAGCGGAACGTGGAAAGTGCTAAAAAACGCATTTTTTAGTAAGTGTTCCCCAAGTTTAGGCACGTCAACTTCGTATTCATGACAATAACTAACACAGTCCTGTGCGAAAAGCAGCAAACAGACCACGTCAGAAGAGACAGGAATAGCGGGCGCATTATGCATGGGACACTGTTTCCATGCGACAACGTGTCTGTCAAAATTAGTAGATTCCCCATTCAATGTGTTACTGTTCGTAGTTGGGAGGATGGTTACTTAGCTGGTCGTGTACCTGCCTTTACTTGCTGAGTTTTTTATCACCAATGTTGACGACTGACTCACCAGCACTGTCTCTGAAAGCAATGCACACCCGCTTAATCCCCGTCTAACTAATTACTATGCTTAGAGAGCCCTAGCACTGAACATGGAGGGGGTGAGGAAGGGTCACTGTACTTATTGATGTAGTGGAGGGCAATGAAGCATGATTCAGAAGTTCGCAACCGACCTTCTCCGGCCTGATGTTCGTCTGGGTCCCCTTGAATGGGCCAAGTGTTCGGTCATCAACATCCGGCGTGATCTTCCAGTTACTCCGGCGTAAATTTTTGTCCACACTTGCACCGGATCCAGCAAACGATTTTGAACGTTTTCTGCCGTGGCAGTGGGTCTTTCGGTCCATTACTTGACGCCTGAGGATTACTGTCGGTCTGTGGCATAAAAAGGCAGCCAGTAACTTCGGAGACGTCCATGGCGGACGGATGGGCTCACTAAAATCACGGTCCAGTGCGTCTTTCCTCCACCAACGCTTGGTGATCGCAAACAGGGTAGTCGCCGTGTCTCCACGTTGCCGGCAGATGTACTATCTCGAATTCCGGTGTCGATCTGATAGGCAAGCCTTGGCTTTTTATTGCTATAACATATCTGCTTATTTGAGTTGGGTAGGCATTTTATGTTAGGGATATACTGCTGGTCATGCTTAAGAAAGTAACTGAATTTGTTGCTAAGGCTTGCGGTTAGGGTCGGGATTAAGGTCAGGGCTAAATTTGTCCGCCACGTATCGCCTTATCAATCCGGTCGTCTGTGACCAATAACTCCGGATTATCTGTTTTTCGCCCATTTATGCACCCCAACTCACGTCTTCCAGATTGTGTGGTCTGTTCCGAGACCCCGTTGGAGTAGCAAAGTCAACACATGGAAGAAATTAGAGTTTTCTCAATGCCTGCCATAAGTTCTGTTAATTGTTACTTCCGCCTGTCCTACTGGTGAAACTGACGTCAACAAGAGTCTTTGTGCTCTACTTTCTCAGTGGGCTTACATATTCAATCCTTGCCGGAAATTCTTATGCCTCGCCCTTAATGACGTAGGCAAGTCACTTCGACATGCCATTCGAAAATATCAGTCACATTAATCTTAATATCGTTTTCCCGACACCGAAAGTACGACTGAGAACCAACGTTTTCACTATCACGGGTCTACCTGAAAAGCATATGCACACAAAAACCCAGTAAAATAGACACATTTAATGATATAATGTTAAAAAATAAAAAAAACACACCTCATTCCTAAAAGGTCGTTAATAGCTGCCAACGAAAGGACCTGGCTGATAACTCAACATGTAACCATGGAGGATAAGTTAAGAAGGGGTCACCACGAGCTAAGAGTGATGGGGTTGTCCTCAGACGCATCAGGTTCAAGAAAACCATGTCGATCACAGTAAAGGAAGGAATAAATCCAGCGTACAATAGGATGTCGCATATGCACTTTTCAGGCCTGTAATCAGAAGGCAAATTAATACAATGTGGTTGCAATTCAAACATGAAGAGAAGCAAACGGACAGGCAGATGCGGAACAGAAGGAAAATCTAAATTCCCAAATTTGGAATTAGTATGCCAATAAAGAGACTACGAGAAAGTTTCTTTCACGCCCACCTACGATATATGTATTCGGATCTGCGGTATGCATATCAGTTGTAATTGAATAAAACTTTTTACTACAACAATCCTAACTACTAGAGAAAGAAAGTAGCAACGGTGCAACCGTGAATTGCAAGAGGGTGTTCTGATACTTCTTTCTTACCCTGAGGGTCAGTAACGTCATCAGAGTGCAGATGTCTGTTGATGCTGCTGAGTGGCTAAAATCATTCATAATAAAATGCCAGAGAGAAGTTGAAAATCATCTACGCCCATTAGTTAGCTTTGATTGGAGGCAGGGAACTGAAGACGTAGTCAAAAGCATTCAGAAAAGCGATGTGTCTGCGTGATTCACATGAAGAAGTGGTGGGGTTGAGCTTAGTAACCGGTGAAGGGGAAAGTTAGAGGTAAGGACGATGAGAAAAAAGTAAGAAGTTGGGAGACTAGGGTACCAATGATCCAGAGGTTCTTTCTACGCACCGCTCTCAAGGTCGGAGTTTGGTGAACCTTTTTTGCAATGTAACAGTCCAGCAGTCTGATAATATGAAGTATAAATAACCGTAAAATGGTGACTTGCCTCTGCATAAGTACGACGTAAACGCAAGCTTAGTCAATCAAGCTGCAACAGTTTTAACCCAGGTGGTGTGATAGAAGTACTCCGTACCGAAAGCATTATTGCTAGGAGACTACGGAGACGAGATATCCTTTTTGATATGGACAAGTAGGAAAACTGGTTCCTTAGGAAGCCTGTTATTAGTAAGGAAATGAGCATATCAAAGGAGCTGAAGATTCAGTGGTGCATAAGTGACCGATCTCATGAAATGCTGGCCGACATCCTGAGATTCGTTTGCGATATGGAAGTCTGGTCTGTAACGGTAATTATCTCGCAGCCCAATCTCATGGTATTTTTGGACTTTTCAGCGGGTTGGATTTTGAGTGCACTCCTTTTTGATCTCCTGCAAAAACTTCCCTCGGTAAAAAGTGATTACTTAATAAGCATGCACTTCACGTTGATTTTCGATGGGCTCATAAATTTAAATATATTTTATAGAAAGTATGAACAAGAGATTCTTACTCCTACTCATTTGGTGGCAAATCACGCCGTCTTCCCATTTTTTACTCAAAGAAAGGGCATGTTTAGGTTTGGAAAAAATTTTCCAATTTCCGAATAATTTGTGCCAGATCAGCCGTTACGTTGGCGTTTGACGATTTCAGTCTACCGACAGGTCGCTTAAGTCTCAGGGGTTGCAAAACCTCGAGTTGGGCGCGGCCGACTGATGACGGCCAAAAACGGTCATTCAAATCTCCCTCGTCTTTTCGTCAACGTTATTCTGCCTATGTATGTGTATGTATACATGCTGAATAGCTGAAGTAATGTGTATTCAGAGCTGAGGGTGCTTGGCTGAAAATAGGGCTTTGTTCTTATTACCAGTCCGCTATCAGACGAAATGAATAACGGAAGGTGGGAGTGTCACATTAGTGTGCGTGTCCACAGACAGGGAGATAGCTGGACGTCTTTACGTGGAGGGGTGTGCATCGTGTTGTGTTGAGTGCCGGAGATGAGGCGAGTTTTGTGAGTCTCAGAAGTGTACATTCGAAGTGTGTCCACCGGTCAGGTTACGGCACATACCCGCCCCATTGTGATTTGGGGCTCGATCTAGGGCCTCGCAGGCAGTCGGACGGCGACTAGTGGTATGGGCAGAATAAGATCGCTGGAGTGGTCATTTCTGGCTTATTGGCCGTCATCAGCCGGCCCTACCCAACCCCGGATTTGGGACGCGCTTGAGATTCGGACGAGGAATCTTTGGTCATTGAGTCAGACGCTCTGTCAACTGAGTGACGAGCATATCCCGTAACCTGATTGGTGATTACAGTCAAGATATGGTTAGTAGTCCCGATTGCAACCGTCAGGACAACGAGTCCATGGTTTACTGAGTTGGGGATTCGACTCAATAAGAAAGGGTCCCTCATTCGGATCTCAGATGCTTCAAACTTGTGGTCGAATATGACTGAATGATGACGACTAATAAGCCGGATAAACGACGACTCTCACTGCAGGACTATCTGCGGCCGGCCATAAATTTCATTTATTGATTTCATCCCTATGTAACACCTACCTGACGTTTACTGAAATTTTCCCTTTCAAACTACGCAAATGACTGCCATTTGTGCTGATTTTATATAATTGCTCTTAACATTTCTTATGTACATTGAGAACACCGCCTGCCACACCCGCAGTCCCGCACTGTAAAAACGTTTTACGCAAACAACTATGTTACTGGCAAAACTTTAGTGAGATGTGCATTTGACATTTACATTGTATGTGCCGTTTTCAGTGGGGTCATCAAGGGCATTGCCTATTACCCTAAAACACACTATATACAAACGGCCGTACCAATCTTCCTTGTCTCTGCCGGTGATCTTATTCTGTCCAATACATATTTAGGCTAGATCGCAGTTGGTAGCCCGGAATGGGAAGCGGACGGCGACCTTAACCCTAATCCCAACCTTAACCCTAACCCTAATCACAACCGTTACCGTTAACCGTTAACCCTAACGGCAAACCTAACCCTAACCCTAGCCGAAATCGTAAACGTAACCGTAGCCCTTAGACATAGCCGTAACTGAGAAGCCTAATCGTAATACTAAAACACAGTCGTACGCTCAAACCCTAACCATAACCCGAAAACCTAAGCCTAAATGCATAACCCTAACCGGAAAATCGGAAACCATTAACCAGTACCCTACACCTAACCTCAAACGTAAAACGGAAGCCAAATGTGTCAGATGTGATTATGGAGCCCCACAAAATAACCCCAGTAAACAAACCCCCCAGCCACCTGTAATGCGGGTCCGGGCTACCAAATGCGAGCTAGCCCATATTTATGCTGAAGCTGCGTTCACTGATCGGACTACGTGATCTGTTCGTCCAATTGTGCTCTGGGGCTCGATTTGAAGCCCAGCAGCCAGTGTAACAGCAACTAGTAATGCAGGCAGAAGGGGAGTCTGGGATGGTCTGTGATAGCCCTACTTCGAGCGACTGTGATAACGCTGGGCCTCCCACGAGTGTCTGCACAAGCGCATCAGGCCTGTCTGGCTTTTGCCTGCCTCCCTTGACTTTCCAAGCGGCCAATCAGATTCAAGGTTGAGTCAGATGTGTCCTGGCTTAAGACTCTTTGGCGCAATCCCTGGTACACGCCCGGGATGGCGCTCTCCCAGCGCTGCAGGCGTTTTTCTCCGGCTGCCACAGCTCCTTCCAACCCATTTTCCAGTTGTCCTGGACAGAATGTACAATCCTCCCAACTGGCCCTCCATTTTCTCTTTCCATTGGGGACCGTGCCTAAAGGTCGTGGCAGCCAGGGTCTTTCTCGGCCTAGGCTTCTGCGATAGGCCATTTCTGGCTTATTAGCCGTCGACAGTCAGTCATGCCCAACCGCAGTTTTTTGGGACCTGATGACGGGACCTGAATTGTTTTGTCTAGTAAGCGGTGAAAACACCTTTAACATAGTCGACTGCCATCGACAGGACAATGAGCTCGTAGCTTAATTGCTAGGTCGGTAGACTTACCAACGCACAGTTCCCAAGAGAACTCGTGTTTTCGAATCTCATGTACCGCACGCTTCGTGGTTGGGTAAGGCTGACTGAAGACGGCTAATAGACCGACTGTGGATTCATACCCCTGTTTTGTCGGTTCCACGACTTTAAATACATAAGAAAACTCGAGGAAAATGCATGTATTACGTTAATGACTATATTTTAGGGAGGGGGGGGGGTGGCTGGGAGAGATCGACGTGAGTATCTAGGGCGATCTTCAGGTAGAAGTCAGTAAGCTACGGTATGCGAAGTAACTGGAAGTTACGTTTCGTACTTTTCAGAATTTTAAAGAATTGGATGCACAGCTGTGGATTCCGATCAGTCTCAAGTTTTTTATCGCATACTAGACTCTGCCAGCATTCGTAGACAGAAGTGCCACTTACACGGATACCTCGTTAGATTCCTAATCCTCCAGTACGGTGAAATTTGCGAAATTAGTCGGAATCTTTCGACTACTCATGAATACGACTCGGCATTAACCATGCTTTCGGTAAAATAAGTCCTTGTAAATCACACGTTCACAAACCAGTTTCGGTCGTTTTATGAACTCTCCTAATCCAGGTCACACGTGACCTCTTCTCAGTCACTTGCATTATTTCGACTCATTCCTGCCGAGAAGGAAACGCAGTTTCACAAAGGTCACGCGAGTAGATCGAAAGTTCAGATGGCGATCAGTTGTGAGCAGAAATTGCGATCGTCTCTCATGCACGGCACTTTCGATAACTGAGACTGTCTGAAGGCCACGCTTCGGAATGCGACTTCTAGAGTGTCTTCTGTGCGCAGTATTCCTGACTTTTTGCGAGAATAGTGGAGTCGGTTGCTTCTTAATTAGTCGTGACAGTACTACTGGATCTACGGAACACGGCGGCACCACTGGAACACCTACTCCGGCTCAGACTACAGGCTTGAAGCCGGCGGCGGGATCAGCCAGTGCTGAAGCCAAGGCAATACTCCAACAAAATCCGGGATCAGGTTTTCAGGTCAGTGTCTCAAGCAAAGCCTCGGTCTACGCAGGTGGTGAAAATCAGTCTAAACAGATCAGCAGCCACGTAGAGAGCCTTCCCAATGGAGAGGTTGTGAACATTGTTAAGGACGGAGTGACTTCGAGAAGTATCCCCATCGTGGGAGTCCCTCTACCAGGCACCGGGTCCGCTACAAGTGTACCCGTTTTAGACGGTGGGCCTCTACCAAATCCGCCTGCCCTCGAACCTGGACCCTTGCCCCCATTCAATCCGCCTGGTAATGCACGCACAACTCCTGCGACGGGATTTGCCCCACGTATGGCCCTGCCTGGGGGCATTGTACCGGATCTACTTCTACCAACTCCGCCAGCCTCCGGACCTGAACCCTTGCCGCCCTTCAATCCGCCTGGTAGTGCACGAACAACTCCTGCGACGGGATTAGCCCCACGTATGGCCCTGCCTGGGGGCATTGTACCGGATCTGCTTCCACCGGATTCTACTCAGACGTCTCCACCTTCTCCTAATGGAGGTGGCAACCCTCCAAGTGCAAACAACCTCCCAGGTGGTCTACCTAGCCTGCCCTCACTTCGCGCCAACCCCATCCAGCCGCCGCCGCCGCCGTCTGCAGGGCCCGACGTGGCACCGACTCCGCCCGCTTTTGGAGACCGTTTTGGAGTCGGCACGCCTTGGTCGGAGGCCTTCCCGCCGGCAAACCCAAACGTTCTGCCTCGATCGGGCGCCGATATCCTGCCTGGATCCTTGTCAACACCACTTCCACATCTTGTCGGAGGCCTGACAGCTAGCGACATCCCTGCAAGAGCACCTAATGCTCCTGCTGCGCCTACCGTGGCACCTCGGTCCGGTTCTGGGCCCCTACTGCAGCTCCCGCCGACTGGTATTACCCCAAGGGTAGACAGTAGCCTTCCCGGAATGAGGCATTTTGGACTTGCAACGTCAGCACCTCCCTTTCCCCAGTCTCCAGTCAATTTACTCCCTCAAAATAACTTGCTACCNCTCTTATCCCCAACCAGACTACGTGAAGAGCAGCTAGCACCGGAAAGCGTTGATGTCGTAAACTGTCTACCCCCTCTCGGATATTACTTGGTCCATTCAGTACAGTACTGGTTATTGTACAATTTTGAAATAGAAGGCATTCACAGACAAATTTATACCAGTAACCAATGCTTGTTGTATGTAATTACTTACCTAATTTTTTCGACACTTGCCTTACACATTGTTTTTTATGACGTCATTGTATCCAAAAGGGAGTTCAAAGGCGCTCGCCTACCTTTTCCTTAATAAATCTGATCTGATCTATTTGAAATGAGTATTCAGTAGCGATAGGGTGTAGGACCCCCAAGTGGATTGGAACCACAAAAATATACACAAAATTCAGTGTAACAATAAACATCACTTATTATTCACCGTTCCCATTATTTTAATATCGCTTTACTCAAAGTTCGTTATTTTCTGGGAACTGTGTTTTTCTTTTTTTAATTATCGCGCCCACTTTCTTTGCTAAACGACAACGTACGATAAGACTCTTGGCGGAAGTTGGTCTATTTTTCCGTGTCCTCTTGCTCTCCTTTCTGTGTGTTGCCCCAAACAGAATACCTCCTCTACCACCATTCGACGAATGACACGGTCCAAAGGCTAGCTCAAGTTAGTTGGGGGTACTGCACCCTATCGTTGCCGATAACTCAAGTCGGGTTGTAATATTAATTGTCCTGCAGCATAATTCTAAGATACTTCACTCACGGCAGGATGCGGGCTCTTGAATGAGCTTCTTTTCAGTTGAAACTATTCTAAACCTTGTAAAAAGTGACCACTTAAGTAGTTTGGACTTTTCCAACTGATCTTCGATACGCTTGTAAATTCCATTATATTTCATAAAAACGTGCGCAAAAACATTCTTTTTGGTGCTCATTTGTTAGAAATATGCTTTTTCTCTAAATATTTTACTCGTAAGAGGACATCTTCCGACTTAAAAAGTTTCTGATTATGAGATTTTTAAAGACTGTGAAATGTCTATTCATACGGTATTGTATCTGCACACTTACTTGTGCTCCTTATAAAGTATACAACCTAGTCCACGTCAATTGTACAATTTTATGAGTGCTTTATGACGTCTTTGTAACAGCGTAGATAAATTTATGATAGTGCTTTGGCGGGATGTGTGCAGTATGTACTTCGAAAATCCTGAGTTCAAGTGTGATGGCAGACGGGACAAGAAATTATTCGGGAACCGGAGAAATTTTAAAAACCCAGAGATACTTCCTCTTCAGGTAGAAACTTTGGAGAAAGCCACAAGATATTTCAGTTACTTCAGGATGCCAGCATTTGGACAAGCCTATTTCCGGCTGCCCGCATATGCTATACGGTAAAGATGACTAATTGAGTAAAAATTCTTCCTATTGATTTCTGTTGCCCTTATAAATTCGAATATACATTGTAGAAAACATGCAGAGAATACTCGCTCCTGTACTCATTTTGTAGCAAGTTAAGTCTTCTTCAAATATTATACTCAAAAAAGGTACCTTTCGGTTTCTAAATAGTTCATAACTGTAAGATTTTTTATGATCGTGACATGTCCATTCACATGGCCTCGCATCAGCACGTTTACAAAGTTTATAAAGTAAGCTACCTGGTCCATATCCATAACATAATTCTTTAAATGTCACATGACGTCTTCCCAGAAGCGTAGAGAAATGAGTAATATTCTTTTGACGGAATGTGTGCAGCGTGTACTTTGAGAACTCCGAAATCAAATGTGACGGCAGGTGGTACAAAAAGTTATTGAGGAGTTGGAAGATGTTTTTAAAAGCTAAAAGCTGCCCTTTCTCTTGTGAGAAAGTAGAGAAAACACAATTTACTATTAAATAAGCATTAAAAATATTTATGCGTGCGTTTTATGAAATATAATGGAAATTACTAGCGTATCGAAGGTCATTTGGAAAGGTCCGAACTAGTCAAATGATAATTTTTTACAAGGCTTCGAATAGTTTCGACCGAAAGGAAGCACATTCAACAGCCCGCATCCAGCCGTGACTGGAATATCTTAGAATTATGTTGCAGGATAATTGGTATTACAACATTACTTGAGTAACCTTTTGAGATCGAAAGCATATTTCAGAATTTCGGTTAACATTCCACGAGATGGCAGATCTGTAAATACTATTCGTTTTCTCTCATTGCTGTTTGACCTCCTTATTAAGTCGAATATAACTTACAGAAAAGTGAACAAAAATATTTTTCTTGCACTTTCTATGTAGCAAATTACTTCTGTGACTAGAATACTCGAGCAGTGGGTGTCTCTTGGTCCCGGAAAAATTTCTAAATTATAAGAGTCCTTAAGATCGTGCAGTGTCCATTCAAATAGAATCACATCGGTCTGTTCATTAATGAAGTAAAAAATATAGTCATATGCATCGTAAAATTCCATAAGCCCTTTATGATATATTTCTAATGAAATCGAGGAATGCACGATTCCCCTTACACAGAAAGTATGCTGCGTGTAGGCATTTGATTTTAAAAGCAAAAGTAACGGCACGTAGTGCTGAAAATATTCGCGGATTCAAAAACGTTTGAAAATCCAAATATACCCTTGCTAAGTATGCCACTAATTAATCCTTCCTAAATTAAGAGATATTTCAGAATTTCGCTTAACATTTCATAGGATTGGTCACTGACTGTATTTTGGGGATATGGCAAAGCTATTTTCCGAAATCGAGTGTCTTCATTAAGTACCGGACATGCCGATGGGAACGCTACGCCATTATTCTGGGCTGGTTTATAGAATAAACGTAAAACGGTAAGTTTGGGAGAATGTCGCACATCTGTGCAATATTTTATATCCACATTTGTGACAGCAGTAAACAGACTACAAAGTGCCGCGGTAGCTCAGCCGCCGTAATCACGACGCCCATCTTTGAATTACTGACTCGGGCAATGAGCGGAAGTCTTTCGTGGACTATGCCAAGAGGACTGTAGAGGTGTTTGGATATGTTTTCGTTAGCCTTTAGCATGTGTTTAAGTGGGAGTAAATTGGAGCTATGTTGCTACTTTGTCATTTGGTAGTCGGTAGGAAGAAGTAATTGCAAGTGAGTAGTCTGTCTGAATGTTGCTCAGGTGGAACACTTCCAGGAGTGGAGGTGCGGCAAACAGCGACTAGAGGAAAGTGATTAAAAAGGAACGGCGCATTAGAACGCAGGCTTTGCAGCCGCTACACCCAGTGCTCCCCTTAATGGACCTCACTCTGAAATCATTGATATCGCAGACATAATTTTCCGTTTTGGGATCGCGTTCTGTGGCTTGCAGTGGCGTAATTCCGGATGTCGGAGCGACTTGATAGGCCGTAAAAAGAGTGATTTACGAGGCAGGGTTCCATGCCCGCAGGTGGTTAGGGAGCTGTCCACCGTGGCGATACTGGCCCGGAATGTGTGTTGACAGAGCCGGCGGGTGTGTAACAGTTGCGTCGAGTTTTCACTTCTTCGCGGGGAAGTACTGATGTCGTCACTATTGATAGTGCTTCTATGTCCGCGAAGATGTCACACCACACCTTTACGACTCTGGAACGGGCATTGGCAACGAAGACACATCAATCATGGTCAGAGCTGTCATTCGGTATTCCAGCTCTGCCTTCTCACTGTTCCTCCGACCTTTTGTATTTGACTGACTTCTAAGATTGCCGTCCTATTCTTTACTCAAGATTGCTGTGCCTGTTGCCCGTGTGCGTGGGACTCCCGGGAGTCTTGGTGGATTTCAGAATGTCAGGGGGTATTTTTTTCTCTCCACCTTGGCGGTGAGCCCTTGCCGTTTCTTCAGGCGTTCATCAGACATTTTCTTGATAAGGCTGCTCCAATGGGACTGGACTCAATTCACCACCACAAGAATGCTCAATAGGCCAGAACTGCCTGAAATCCGTGTTTGCGTTTGCTGCCATACAATGATAGCTTAGTTTAGTTTGGTTGAAATGAAACCCTTGAGCGCAATAATATTTCTTGCTTCTGCGTCATAGAAAGACGCCGCCAAGAGGACAGTCCCGCCCATCTTCAGCTTGGTTCTGAGGCAAACGTCCGACTGTCAATTAGGAGGGAATAAAGCCGACTTAAGGACCTGCTGGCTGTGAAGATTTGGGTGGACATGTCTTCGTCGAGTTGTTTACTTCCTGAGAGTGAGCCTCCAAGATAGGCACATTTATCCCCGATGTTGCAGGGATTGCCATTAACAACGACTCAGGCGTCGCATATTCCTGGATAGGGGCAGGTTGGTGGCAAGCGCTTTATCGGTGTTTGTGTTTAGTTTGGAGTTAGGAAAGTGAAAGCAGAGGGGCTCAACTATGACTGCATCGCCCCTCCACGTTCAATGCACAATCGCCGGTAAAAAGCAGACGTTTGCCCTGATCTCGGAGTTTTTTTTTGGCGAGGACTCGAATACGGCAGATATTGAAAAACATTGTAGAGGGCACTCGCCGATCGCGTTACGGAACTGACTCGTTCCGTCGAGCTCTGGACCTCTCTCCGGCTCCGTTAGCAGCCGTACAGCGGCGTGCAATATAGGCAGAACAGTATAACCAACAAAGGTAAGGGAGACTGGAATGACCATTGCTGGCTTATTGGCTGTCGTCGGATTGCCATACCCAACTCCGAAGTGTACAACCCCTGGGGCTCGATCCCGCGACCTGTTGGTTAAAAGTCCGACGTCAGAACCACGGAGTCACTAGCAAGTTGTCCTGTCGGTGGTGTTTTCCTCCTCTTCGGTCGTGACACCCCAGAATCGTATTTTTGTTGTGATTAGAGAATAGGGAGTCATTTTAAACGGTTACCCTAGGCCATTTGCCAACCACAAGCCTACGCAATCTCGGAGCCGTTCAGAAGTCGTTATGTTGATAGCCTAAAAATCGTGCTCTTATCGTCGATCGAATAACCGATCTGCACAGGCAGGTGTGATATTGAAACCAGCTTAACCCAACTATGTGTATAGTATGTGCCGATATTCATGAACTACCCATAGAATACCATAGCTATATTGAAAAGTAACGATGTGTGAAAACCACATTGCCACGGCAAGAAATATCTGGAGTCGTTTACCACGTCTGGTGCAGCTGTGGGCAAAGCAACTTTGTTGGGGAAACCGGAAGACTACTGCGAACGCGAATGGCCGAGCACGCAGCAGCGGTGAGGAGGAAAGACGCCAGCTCCCAAGTCGTGGTTCACTCGACGGGACCTAACCACACATTCAAGTTTGACGAAGCAGAAATTCTTGCTAGAGGTGACAAGCGCGTGAGTCGCGAACTACTCGAGTCACGATTTTCCCGTCCTCAGTCAATCAACTAGCGCAATGACCTTCCCGCTCCATATTCGACACTGAGACTTTGTCTAGACAAAGTATATAGCCGCGAGAACAGCATGCGGATGACCATTAGTCCTGGCGTCAGTATCGGCGAGTCAAATTGCCCAAGTGCCCACACGGGTGACGAAATCCGGCCGTCAGCAATTCGACTGCGTGCGATGAGCCTGGGAATCGATAATCTTAACCAGCACAAAAGGGCATAGCAACTGCACGGCAACTGCATGCTTCAACACCTGGCCAGTCGAGCCGTAATACACTCGGGAGCTGCCAACTGCGATAGGCATTTAGCGGCCTAGCAACTACATCCTATAAATACTGCAACACCTGAGCAATTTACCGCCCCCATCTGACTCTGTCTCTGTTGATGGATTCGAGTAAGAATACAAAACATCAGGCTCATGAAGCTCTTGCTCTAGCGATCGTATATCCTTCGCGATTACTTCCTTGAACTCGCCTCTTCGCTTCTATTAGTAATCGTCACGTCAACATCCAACACGGATATTGAAATTACGACAGTTACCGACCCGAACGCGGACTGAAGAGCCAATATGGCCTTAATTAGGATCCTCAGCGGTGATCACTAGAGCTTTTAAGTACAGTACGCATGTGGCCCCACGGCAGCTAAGAACGTTAAATACTGCAGTCTTTGTGCCTCTACCACCTTTACACCCAACCGTCTCTGATGATGGGCGCGAATGAGAATCCGAAACGTCGGGCCAATAAACTTCTTCTTTCAGTGATCGCCTCTTCTTCTTCTTCTGAACTGCTTCCTGGAACGCACCTGCTCGCTTCTGCAGTGCGTGACCGATCTAATGAAATGTTAGCCAAAACTCTGGAACGTGTTTCCGATTAGGAAGGATTACTTAAGTGGGGTTCTTATACTGATTATCATGCAGCATGACCCTATAACATTCGGAATCGACAGAATGACGGCTTTTGAGCGCACTTCTTTTTGACCTCCTACAGAAACCACACTCGGTAAAAAATGACTACTTAAGTGGCATGTATTTAACCTATTGATTTTCGATGGTCTTACAAATTCAAATATATTTTATAGAAAACATGCACAAAAATATGCTTTTATTGCTCATTTGGTGGGAAATCACACTATCTTCATAAGTGATGCCTGAAGAAAGTGTATATTTAGGTTTTAGAAAAGTTTCTAATTATGGGATTTTTAAGACCGTGCGATGACCAGGCATGCAAGATCGCACATGTCCGTTTACTAATGCTCCTCATGAAATGTGCGACACAGTCAAAATCCACTGCAAAATTTCATGAACTCTATGTGGTATCTTCTTAAAGACTCAGAGGCACATATGATTTTCCCTACGCGAAAAGCATGCACCTTGTAGACTGTAATTGCTAAACGCTGATGCAATGGCAGATGAAGCTGAAAATTATTCGGGAATTGGGAAACTTTTTTAAAACCTAAATATACACTTGTTTCAAACATAAGGTATGAAGACAATGTGATTTCCTACCCACTGAGCAAGAAAGCATATTTTTGTGCATGTTTTCTATAAAATATGTTTGAATTTATAAGACCATCAAAAATCAATAGGTAAAATACATGCCACTTAAGCAGTCATTTTTTGCCGAGTGTGCTTTCTGCAGGAGGTCAAAAAAGCCGTCGTCCTGGCGAGTCGGAAATTTTACTAGGTTATGCTGCATGATAATTAGTATAAGAACCCCACTTAAGTAATCCTTCCTAATCGGAAACGTGTTCCAAAATTTTGGCTATTATTTCGGTCACGCACCTAACCACTGACATGTTTGACTGTGCTCTGAGGAGAGTTTGTCGAAAGCAAACGAATGCTCATCAGCTCGTTTTTTGAGTAATCCCAAGGGTTTCTATATCAACCTTCTCATATCTGGTGATCCTTCTCAAAAATCAGGCAGACTTCTAAATATTTTAGAAGTCAGTTACAACCTTAATAGAAACGCCATAGCTCCATTAAGTTTATACTCTAACACGGATTACCAAAAGCGATCGACCGCCAATCTGCCTTTGTTGATTTGGACATCTCATCAAAGGCAAAGTAGTTCTCTTTCAGACCTCCTCTTTAACAAGATGCTTGGAAATATTCACATTTTTTCTGGTCATTTCTGGAACACTAGCATTCTGTCAGCTCGGCCGCGTGAACGAAGTTCACCGCACACCCGGCGGGGACGGAGACTTTCGAGTAAATTGGTTAACAGTGATAGCAGGCATGTGCACCATCGGCTACACTCTCACCTCGATCAACAACCTCGGCCCGATCACAAGACAGGGTCAAGATGATCAGACGCGGCCTCTGGCACAGCCGGCTTACGCGTGCCACGCACGCCTAGTCCGTTCACGATGGACCAGGTTTTCACAGAAACGAGAGGTGGTTAGCCTGGGCCTCAAGTGAGTTAGGGAATGCCATAGAGCTCGCAGTGCAAAGAGCCATTGACCCTGACTCGCAGTCCTCGGGCTAGCCAAATCAGCTAAACGCACAGTACTGACCACTAGGGTTAAAGAACCCAGTCAGTTGTCAGGCTTCTATACCAGAACTTGTAGTGCGTCGTGATAGATTTAAGCGCATCAGAAGGAGTTATTCTGAGGAATGCTCATAAGATTTCTGGAGATGGCGTGCCCAGTGTTGGCTTCACTCAAACTTATTCTTCCGCATATTAGCCGGTTGGTCCAGCCAAGGAGGTACGGTTTTCTGCCTCAATGTTAATATCACGCACGTCAAAACACAAGTGCCCGTCTATTAGTCAGAAGTAGGGGGGGCTCAACTACTGCAGCTGGGGCTTAGTTTACTTGACTTTCCTGAATTACTCCCGCAGCCATCATTTGATAGGCCAAACTGCCTAACTCCTACCACGCATCAGCGCATGTGGTGAGATTGTGTCCGGTAAGCTCTCAGCTGCGGGCGACCGGGCAGGCACCGGCGATGAATGCGGAAGCTGTTCATTCTCGCAAGCATGCAATGGGCTAGCGACGCATCCGATAAATGCTACGTATCTGCCACCTCTCTATATCACCGTCTCTGAATACGAGTTCGAGCTGGACTTGCGAGCACCAAACAACCAAACCACCCCTTTACAGCAAAAGAACCACACGTCCCAAAATCCCCGGACCGTGTTGGTGAGATAGCGGGCCATGATCATATAATTCGTAGGGCGGGAGTTCTGAGACGCCGACGGGTTTACACAAAACAGAAGACTGGTCGAGTACCGGAGACATATGTTTATTGTTCCGAGATTTTGGACAGGCTGTTATTTCGCACTTCCCCAGACAACTATAAAGGTGCCGAGGTCCTTCTCGATAATGTTTTCAGACTACCGACACAT